ATGAAGCTTGGTACCGAGATCCGGTTTTCAGTATCATAGCTCTAATTTAAAAATAAAATAAAAAAAAAATCCCTAATATATCCCAGTTGGGTGGTGAGTTGGGTGGTGAAAACTAAATGAACTTGGAACTTCCACAAAAATGTAAGTTTGATACTAGTGACTAATGGTTTCACAACAAATTACTTCTAAAATTTTTAAGTGTTAACCCCACTAGCTAGTATTCATCTCTCACAAAAATAGTGCATTTAGTAAATTTTAGAGCTCAAACATCATATTCATCTCCTATTAGATATCGATGAAAATAATTACTTTACTATCTAAGATTTCTTGAAGTTTAAAGGAAAAAAAGAAAAGCAACAAATAATGGAGACAGTCATAGTAGCATATCCAACAGAATGAGTGCACAGGAAGATGTAAAGAATTGCATTTTATGTATGCAGAGCCTCTTATCACTAATTAGCAGTTGAAAGAGAAAAAAAGTTCTCAACAGTTGTGTATAACTCATCACAACGTTCCCAACTAGAAATATCTAGCTAGAACAAAGAAATCTCCAGCAGCAAAAATCTGTAAACAAATAGTCAAACATCCCAGAGCAGTAGTGCCACACATTAGCACCCTGAAAATTGACACACAAAAGAGAATTAGACATCCAGAAGCGCAATTAAATAGTAAGTAGATAATAGATCGATATCATAAAGAAGCCATAGCATTATGGAAAGAAGGAAATTCCAATCCAATTTTGGTTTCACAATGCCCTCTTGAGTAAATTGAAATTAGATTTGACATCAATGAATAAAGAAAAAATACAGCATGTAGAATAGTGGACCACATCCGCGCAAAAATGACAAACCACAATTAATAACCAGCCAGTTAGAGTTGAGGTATGTGACCTATAGAAAAAATAACTTTAAACAGTATGCAATGAATCCACATTGTGTGCTATAAAGTTCGTATAATTATGATGACTTTAAATTTTAATCGAGCATATAAACAAACAAAATAAGAAAGATTACAGCTTGATGTTCTCTTCCATAAGGTCCAACTTCTAATGCTCTTTCACTCGCTCAATGAAGCAAGACATGTAAAGAGTGAAGAAAGAAATAGGGAGTGAAAGAAGAAACGTGAAATGGATCCTATCCAATTAAAGCAACAAACCACCCACCATGCACCTCATAGAAACCATAACAACTTCAACATCAAAAGCAAATTGACCTACATAAAGCATATTGAGACAGAAAAGTAGAGATCATATATTATAGACCAGTACAAACAAATTAAATCAAATAAACATTAATATCATATACATGATGTGAATATGCAAAACTCCTCAGGAAGTTCAAGAACACTTGAATTATTGTCATTGCACCGGGTGCGTGCACCATAAATCAAGTAATTCACTTACTATGATATGGTGCCTAGCAACAATCAATGACCCCTAACATATACACAAATACAAATGCGTATGTATTTTGCAATTTGCATGACCCAAATTGCACGTAACACTTTGTGCAACTTAATGCATGACAATGGAGGACCTTCATATAACTTAATTAAAGATGGCAACTGATGATTAAATGAAATTTAAAACTAAAGAAAAAGAAAAAAGAAATACTAATAATCATACTAAGGGTTTATATGGTCTGGCTTTTAAAAAGTCAATTTTTTTCTCAGATTAAGAAACTAATTTTGAACATATTTGAATAATTTTATTAAAATGTTATGCTTGATTAGAAAAGTTTTTAGAAGTTGACATAAAATAACTTCCTTAGAAATTTTCTTCTTTTTTTGTAAGAAGCAGAAGCAAAATTAGAAAGCATACCCTAAATCATACCGAACGGCCTTTAAATAGAAATTTCCTACTTAAATAAACTTATTAAACATTTGAAATTCAACTGGTATAGTTACACTATAAATCATAATAAATGATATATTGAAAACAATTAATTGCATTGGGCCAATTAAAAACTAAATTTAAGATGCTAACATCAAATGTGGTTCATTTACTATTGAAGAAACGATGTTAAAAACAACAGATGAAGGACCTCAAGGAGATAATTTTTTAAGACTAATACCCTATTCACCTCTTTGATCTGCTATTGAATCGAGAAATAGGTTTGATTGGCCATCTTTTTTATATATACAGAAGGAATTCTCCATTCATTTAATTAAACCTATCAAGTATGACTACCTAGAATGGTGCTCTAATACTTTTGGTGCTAGATATTATTATTCTTTTTAATAGAATACGAAATTTTATATAAAGATATGTTCTTTCTAATATTTGCAAGTGATGAATTTGTCTACTATTTTGTTGTTGGACCACGTTCTTTCACATTATTTATATTCTGAATAGGATGGTATTTAATAAGGATATACTCCTCCCAATCAATCACGAACGAACAGGTTATAATTGTGTCGTAATTCCAATCGTAGCTCACTTGTAGTAATTCATGCTTACAATTGTTATTAATTGAGCTAGAAACTGTCTTCATCTTGAGAAGACTTGTTTATATTACTTGTTTTAACTTGTGGGGAAAAATGTTACACTGTAGAAGCTCCTTTTCATTATATGTTATAAAGGTTTGAATTTTTATGATACTCTTTGTTAAAATTATACTAAAAAGATATTTGAATTGAATGCCACCCTTGTTCATGTTTATGTAGCATCAAAAGACATTTCTCTATAGAATGTTTACAATTTAGGTGCTTGAGGATTTTAATTGAAAATCTTTTTGTAACTATTTGACTGTAGCATGTGAATTCTTTGGCTAGATCGTATTGGCCAAATCCTTTGTTTCATTTTCTTTTGATATTGTACCAAAGTCTTTAATTTCCTTTCAATATTTCATCATGTAATATATTTGTACCTCTAATATAACTCTACCTAGTTTTTGCAAACCATACATTAGAGGAAGTGGTACCCGTTGAATGCCAATTGACCGATCCAAATGCTGTTAAAGGTTTTCAGTTTGACAATAATGCAAATGAACTTTTTTCGATTAGATTAAATGCAGATCATTCTATCAAACATAAGTCTATTGGGGAAGAACAGTCAAGATCACATGACACTTCCTGTCCAAGTGAAGAGGAGTTGCATATGGACTATTCTTCCAGTGAAGAAAACATGTGTCATTTTCCGATTTATGAACAGAAGAAGGAAAAGTTAAATCCTCTGTTGGAGGTTGGAAGAGAGTTTAGAAATATAGAGTAGTTTAGGCAAGAAGTTAGGAACAGCGGCCTAGCAACCATATGCAATTTTAAATTTAGGCATAATGACGAGTTCATGGCCCCATCTATAAATTAGGTTGTACGTGGAGGATTTGGGTTTCATGGAATAAGAAAAAAGGGTGCGTGCAAATAAAGTCTAAAACCTCAAAGCATACACGCACAAGAGATAGAACAAATAGACATTGCATTGCCAAATACATAGCAAATAGATGTTTAGATGCCTTTAGAATTACTACACAATGATGACCATTTTGGAAATAAATTGATTGAAAGAAGAATATCCTTATTAAGTATCATCCTGTTCAAAATCGAATCACCTGTAAGAACATGATCCAACAATAAAGTGGTTAACAAATTCGCCACTTTTAAATAATAAAAAGAACATGTGCATAATATAAAATTTCATATTCCAATAGAAAAATTATCTACTGTCTCCAACATTGTTTCTTCAACAGTAAAGTTGCTTGCTATTTGTGACCTACAGGTCTTGTGAGTCACTCTTGTTCCTCATTCTCGAGACTCGATCTTAGCACTTTTTGGCATGGTTTAAAAAGGTGGTAGTGAGGCTCGCCTTGAGGCCCGCCTCACTGTGAGGCGTATGTAGTATACCTCGAGGCGGTATTTTTTAGGCTAAAAATGTGAGGTTCACGCCTCTAAATGTGAGGCACACGCCTCAAGGCGAGCGCCTCATTTAAAATTTGATTTTTCAATTGTATGAAAAGAAATAAGAAAGGGCCCTTCTTAAAAAAGAAAAAAAAACTCATTTAAAAAGGCATTTTGGGTCCAAACAAAACAATAAAATACCTAAAAAATTAAACGGCAACCAGAAATAACAATATGCTAATGATATATCCTATTTACTATATGCTCCAACTTTTGTTTTTTTGTATTTTTGTATTATTTTACAATTATTTTACTTAGTTTTTTTTGCTTTTGTGAGGCTTACGCAGCAATCCGCCTCGAGGCTTACGCCTCGCCTCATAAAGAAAAACCGCCTCAATACTTAATTTCGCCTTTTTAAACCTTGCTTTTTGGAACTCAATTTTTATGTTGTTTTTCATTTCAGTAAAAGAACCTAGGGTTCATATGAATTTGGGGTTTCCCAATTTGTAGTTCAATGTGGAATTATTTGTTGATTTAAGGTTCAAGATGGGATTTGGAGAAGAATCGTTTCGTGAAATTGGAATTTTGTTTAAGAGGCTAAAAAAAGTCGTGTCTTTAAGGAAGGGAAAGCGTTAAAAATGCAATTTTGTCCATGTTGTCAAATTTTAACATTTTTTGTTGCCATATGTAATTTCCATCTGCCAAACATTTTGTAAAAGTGAGTGATCATCTAGTAACCTTTTATTTTTCATTGAGCAAGTGATAATCATAGGTAAATTGTTGGTGATGAATGATTTAATTAACTCATATATCCTAATTTTTCGCAGCAGAGAAGATGAGCTTTAGGGAAGAATCAAATGAAAATGTGTTCCCCATTTTTTAAAGCTCGAACCCATGCAACCAAACATATCCTAAAGGAACTCCAATATCAAGGCAATGAAGAGAACATACAATTTACCAGCATGACATCAAAAGCCAAACAAACAATTTCACTTAAAACTCCATATCAATTGGTTTCTAATAGCAAATAAAATAAATTTACTAGTTTTAGTAATCACTTACCTGATATTCAACGTCCAGCATTGAGACCAAGAAGCATGTTGTTTCCATCAGGCAGGTACATCACATTGGGATTCTTGGACATGGTGGTTGTGTTCTCCCTTGAGGCCTCAATCCTTCTCAGCTCGATCAAGCCCATTCCAGCAGCTGCAGTTGCATCAGAAATCAACTTGGCGGACTCACTTTCTCCCTCAGCCCTAATAATAGCAGCCCTTCTCTCCTGTTCCGCCTTGGCCACCACAAACTTAGACCTTTCCGCCTCCTGCTGAGCCACCTGCTTCTGCTCCACCGCCCTGGAGAACTCCGCCCCATACGACAAGTGAGTAATGGCCACATCATCCAAAACAATATTGAAATCCTTGGCCCTGCGAATCAGACTTTCGCGAACTAGGGCCGACACGTGGGGACGCTCGGTGAGCAACTGATCCGCATTAAACTGCGCAACAACAGCTTTAAGCACTTCATTTCCGATGGAAGGGAGAACTTTCTCATCATACTCGAGACCTAGGGTTTTGAAAATGTCCGGGAGGCGATTAACTTCAGGTCGAGAGAGGACTCGGAGGGTGAGATTGACCATCTGGAGATCCTTCGTGCCGGAAACGGAGGAGAAGTGGTGGGGGCGAGTACGAATATCGAAGATGAACGGTTTCTGGAGCCATGGAATCAGGAAATGAGTACCTTCGCCGACAGTATCATCGATCACACCGCGAAATCGATCGAACAGGACAGCGCGTTGGCCGCCGTCGACGGTGTAGAGTGATGAATTGAGGACGGTGGCGCCAACACCGAGGCTGAAGGCTGCGCGTGCTATGTTGGTAAGGAATGAAACCGCCGCTTGACTGCTACCCATTATTTCACGGTGATCGATTGAAGACAAGTCGAGTCCCACTGAGAGAAATAGTGGTTTATGTTACATGTAGTGTAGTTGATTCTTCTTCAAGAAATTTGTTAAACCCTAACCCCTAAATGAAGAAGCGGGCCTGGGCCTAATTATGTGGACTGTGAACTTTCGGCCGATTAAATTTATGGGAAAAACTCATAAATGTAAATATTTCAAAACATAAATTTATGAAACAATTTTAAAAATCAAGTGATCATATTCTGTGACATCTTATAAGAATATTATAACTCATAATCTAACAATATTCATGATCACGATCAAATACTACTCATAGATTACACAATGTCACAATCATGTAAGATACAATTTATATTCACACCACAATTTTTATTCTCTACGCAACATTTTAACTGTACTCAAGGTTCTTAATCTTTACTCATAGCATTTATGTTCCTAATGATTTTTCATGTCATTTTTATCCTTAAACTTTTCATTAGTTAACATATTTATTTTATAACAATTTTATATCTAAAAATCCATTGAAATGGCGTTAAAGCAAACTTATTTTCCATCATACTTTTAGAAAATAAATAAATAGAAAGTAAGCAAAAAAAAATTTCCCTCATTTCAAAGCATGAAAACAAAATATTTTGATATAAATCACAATAAAAGACGAGATATACTAATTAATGGAATGTTGAAAATAAGAATTTGACGAAAAAAGTTAAGAAAATAATTGTTATAATAAGCAAATATTAAGGAGTTTGATTGTAATTAGAATTTGGTGTTTTAAATAAAAATTGTGGTAGTAATATAACCACCCTTTATATATAACGATCACATATGTAATCACACATTTAGCCGTTGTTTGACAATTTTAAATTCTTTTTTTTACATATATATTTTTAACTACAAATTTACATAATAAAAATATTATGCACTTAAATCCAAAATTTTTTAATACTTTTTAATTACATATTCTCATAAAAATAATTATTCAAAACATGATTTTTCCCATTTAATTGTTGTCAAATAGGGACTTACTAGGTCACATATTGTCAATTAACAAGTCACAATTACTATTTATCACACCCCCCACCTTTTCCCTCTCATCCACCGTAACAGTTACATACAATTTTCCATGAAAAATGCTATGTGTACACCTCATGGTGTACATGCGGCTTTACACCCCCTCACATGGAAGGGGGCCCACGAATATTTTATTATGTGTGGGCTCCCCTCCATGTGAAGAGGGTATAAAGCTGTGTGTACGCCATTGTGTACACGTAGCATCTCCCATTTTCCACAGTCAATTTCTCCTCTTCACAAGCGTCGGTACACCACAACGTCATTGTCCAATCCACACAATTTTTTTAACAATTAAACCCTTAACTGACCACAAGTATTATTCTTGTCATACTATCCCACCTAACCTCATTTTACCTTTCCTATCCCTCACTTCCAAATCTAAGGATGTGCTTAGTGTACATAATATATGTACATAGAATGATGCTACATGTACACCATACTTGTACAGCAAGGTGTACACTCTTCTCACATGTGATGGGGCTGTATAGTATGGTGTACAACCATCATTATTCATGTACATAAGGGTGATCATACTACTTACATAGGATGGGGTTTACATTTTTATGAGTCTCACCCCATGTGAGGGATATAGACACTCTTATGTACATATATTATGTACACCAAAAATATTTTCCAAATCTATTGGAGCATCGTCAAACACCTCTAGACCTACAGTTGTAGTCCTTACGGTGTCACCACTAGTGCAGCATCGTCGCACGTACAATAAACATTAGCCATAATATATATATTACCAATAAATGTAATCATTTTGGGGATCCACCATTGTCTTCCACTACATTAATTAATATGTCACGTCACCCACCCGGTGATGTAGCATATTAACTATTGGGTTATGCTACATCTATCGAATTTTTATATCAAATCTTCTACACCACACTCACATTAGGAGGTGGGGAACACAAGCCGAAATTTTTAAATACACATGGGACCCACGCACATTGTGAGAGGGTGGACACCATTTGATACCCCCTAGTACATTTTGACTAATTATTAACCAATTTACCCATAAGTCCATCACCTGTTCTCCACCATCACCACTACTATCACCACTACCACTGTCAAAATAATTAAAAAGAGAATTAAATTTAAAAAAAAGTAAGAAAAAAATTAAAAAATAGGAAAATTTAACTATTTTCAACAAATTTTTATTTTTATCTTCTTATTTCTAAACATACACATGTATACATCACTCACTATATATGAGACAAAAGAAAACCTGCAAAAGGAAGAAGCACCATTGTGTTTCCCTATTCTTAATCCATTTCTTAACTATTTTCAGCAAATTCTTTTTTCTATTTTAAGATTTTGAATTTTGCTCTAATTTTGTTAAAGAATAGATAAATTCCTCCACAAAGGAAACTTGGATAATGAAGAAGCACCATTATGTTTTTTGTTTTTTGTTTTTTTCCCTATTTTTAATTCTTTTCTTACTTCTGTTTATACTTTTACTTATTATTATTATTATTTTATTTTTTTTTATGATTTTGGAGTTGGTGACGGAGGGTAGGGTGTGGGTGTGAGGGTAGGTGGGTGAGTTGCGAAGATAAAATATTTTTCTTTTTTTTAGAATATTTTAAATTATTTTTTTTAGGCTCGTTTGTATTTTAAAAAAGAAAAATTGGAACTCTTGATACAATTTTTTATATGATTTCTTAATTTTCACTTTGTTTATATAAAGAGCTGTGTAAATTAGTCATTTTAAAATGCGTTAAGCGAGAAATAGACGGTAATTACATTTTGTGTAAACAAAGATCGATTGAGTGCTAAATGTCAAAATTGAAACAATAAGGATAATTTGTATAATGAAAGCAAAGGATAGAGACTTTTTGCTCTAATTGCTTATTTTTCACATAAGGATTTAATGAAATATGATGGAAATGACCAAATCCGCAAGAATGTTTGAAATGAAACTTTAAATGTAAAATTTAAAGTGATATCCTATTTCCGCAATGAATACAAATGATATGGATGTTTTTTGCTAATTACCCATAGAAAAATAATTAAAGCATGATTATTGTATAAATAATAATTAAGACCTAATTTTTGAAATTGAAACTTTAAATGTAGAGGGTTTGAGGTAATTTTCCCTATATTTATAGTCCTAGTTTGATTTGGTTAAATATTATATTTCTAATAAATTTCGATAAAAGCTGATAAAATTTACGATTGAAAAGTTAATAAAAATTGTGAGACTCATAAAATGTGATTGAAAATGAATTTTAGGGAAAATGAGTTTTAAAAATATTGGGGGTCGAATAAGGGTTTCATTCTACAAATAAATGGTATTTAGACCATGTTTTATGTAGTTTTTGTAGAAAGTGATTTTTTTTTTTTTTTTTTGAGAATGTGTAATTAAGAAGTGTGACAATTATAAATTTACGTGCATAATTAATTAGTTTATTAAAAAATATTTGGCTTAAAATAAATTTGAGAAAAATGAGTTTTAATAAATTCGAAACAACCAAGGCTATGATTTCAAATATAGCAGCTTTATGTGTGATAAACATGGAAATTAGTTAATTAATATTTTAAGTATAGAATCTGAAGAGTCTTTGTATTTTGTATGTCTATTTAAGACAATCACTTCTAAAAATCAAATAAATATATAATGGAAAAAATTTATAACTACAGTACTTTAATAATACAATTTTAAATTAAAAAGCTTATAAAAATCAAATTAAGTCATAAATCATATTTATATTCCTTCAAACTATAGTAGAAATTCTGGTCTGAAATACAGAAGTAGTTCCATTGTTGGTTAAAACTAGCAAGAAAATTTTCTTGATCGTTCTAACTGTAGCAGTGTATAGCCGAAATTTTACTTCTAGTAGATTTTCCAGCTTTTGTTTGAACTTCTGAAGAGGTTCCAGCAAGAGTATTTGAAAGTTTTAATTTATCGAATATTTAGACCAATGTGCGAAATTATACAATTTAAAAAAGAAGTCATTTTTTAATTGTTTCTAGATAGTTAATCAATCATGCTAATTTTCATATTATTTGAATGCCACAATCAATAAATAATGCAGAAAATAATATAAGATTTGTTGATGGAAAAAATCATTCACATGATTAAAAACTTCGAGACCAAGCCAGTAACTTCCACTATAGACAATAAGAACTTACATTATCATCCATACTAGAAAACATATTAGACTCGTTGATCTAATTCCTACAATCTCCAAAACTCGCTGAAACATGCTTCCGATCTTCTGGAATTGTTTATAGAAGTGGGTATTTTTTTTTCCAAAAATGATTAGAACCAGCCAGTTCCGGTCCAATTCGCCAAAAGAACAATTCGATTTTAGGACATATCATCGAGAACTAGCCGATTTCGGTCCAATTCTCAATGCCTTTGTGAGGACCGAATGTTAATTCAGTTCTAATAAGTTTCTTCCTTTTATTTTCTTTTTGTTTAGATAAAATGTAAAAACTCAATATTTTATGAATTTTTTAACCATAATCATCTTCACTTTTCCTTTTTCACTCTTCCAACTTCCTTTTTCTCTTCAAGTAATCAATTTCTTTTGTTCTTTATTTCAATTCTTTGATTCTTTCCTTCTCAATCCATGGGTAATTGTAATCTATACTTACACATAATTTTATAAATACTATAGAACAGTTCTTAAATTTAATTTTGTTATGGTAGATTGTTAATTTTATTACAAAATGGGATTTAGACATTTTAGTTGTTAACTTATTGTTTTGAATTTAGACTCCATGTTACATTATTCACTTGAAATTTTGTAATTTGAAAGCAATTTTAGGGAGAGTACAACTTCAAAGTAGACCTAATTGGATGCGAATTATGTTTTGATTATATATGTGTGGCTTAAACCATTTGACAAGTGTTTGTGGTCTTGTTTGAAAGCTGACAACATGGTTCAAATTTTTTGTTAGTG